TAGAAATTAAAAAAATAAATATAAACTATAAATAGGTAAAAAAAAAAGAAAGAAACTGGAATAATGAAATGAAGTTCCAAAAGAAAAACAGTATAAAATAATAGATAAGGCAAAAAATAATCGTATTTTTAAACGAATATGACGTGATGGTGGTCTACAAAGGTTGGAAGAGCCAAGTTACAAATTAAAATTTATAAGAGAGAAATAACAATAAGTAATGTAAAGCCTAGTTTAACTTTCTCACGAGTTCATTAAAGAAAAAAAAGCGAAAAGGCTTAGATATTTGAGATAAATAGATTAAAGAAATAGGCATTTAATAAAGAAAAAATTTTAACAACTGCAGGAAGTAAAATTACTTCAAAGCATGAGATCTGTTCTGTCGTAAATACAGTTAAACATGGATTTTGGCATTTGTATATATTTAAATTCACCAGTGTTCACGAGCGAGTATTTGCACCGACAGTTCCCTGTCAGTGTTTCCTCAAAAGTGATGGAAAAATAGTAGCATTTTTTGAAAAAAATCGCTATTAAAGGATATTTTAAAGTTTTGCCCGAGTATCTTTAAGAAAGTATATCCAAAGACCATTCATATCAAAACAAAAAAATGAATAATTAATATACGTGTTTGCTTATCTCTACTAGGCATGCATTTATAGAAACCAAAAAATATATAAAGAACCTTAACGACATTTTATTTAGCAAATATTAACTATTTAGAATACAAGGGTTTTGATAGACTTATATTAAAGCGTGAATGCTAAAATACTCAAGCTAAAACAAATGATATATAAAAAATACCGATTACCTCCAATCGGATAAACGGGGATAAAGGCAGTTTCCGGTCGGCATTCGTTTGGGCGGTAGTATGGCAGGTGCCGCCCAAGACGGCAGTTTTCGTAGGTTGTTGAAAGCTCACGAAAAAATGTAGCCAAACAATCGGTAATAAAGGTGCCAGGCTTACCGGGGCCATTTGATGCAAGATGACTGGGCACTAAAACATTGGAAGCCTGCGAAGAAAATGATATTGAAGGTTCATTAGTCGAGGGAGCAGATGATATAGAAGAGGATGAAGAGATCGAAGAGGAGGAAGCAGGTCGGGGCGAACTGACATTCTCTAAGTGGCCAGGAACCGCTTCACTATGTACAGTAGGACGAGAACATGCGTGTTTGATGACCGAGTTTGCTTCGCTTCCTAGTAATCCCATATTTGGATTGCTTTTTAAAAATTTATGCGAATTTGCCGAGCCAGGAGAATATGCAGATGATGCAGTAGTAAGTTGCTCAGTTGAAGGACTAATAACCGCGGCGGAAAGAGAAAGATCTTTAGTAAGTTCTTCAGTGGGCACGAGGACAGCGTAAGCTATGCGTTTTTGTCGAGAAAGAGGGCCCAAAGAAAGACGGTCCTGAAAGGATGGATCAGATTAAAATTCTATATTAGTGCTGTAACATTGCTATTCCTTACTTTTTTTGTCAAAGTTGGTAATAAACTAATCCTTAAACTTTTTAGTGTAGATGCGCAAACAGTTTAGAAGCCTAGCCTCACACAAGCATGCCTAAGATGAAGTTAAATATTTTAATATAATATACTATAGAATATTATAATAATATACATCATGATAGAATATTGTAAGGCAAATAATTTAAAGTGAAGACATTGGCAGAAACAACTAGAAACGATATTTTAGAACATGATTTAAATGCGTTTTAGAAATAACGCAAAAAAGCCTTATATTTATTTAAAAGAAAGCTACATTGTGGATCAAAT